TCAGCACCCGGTGACCATGTTTTGTTCCATCCAGCTGTCAGAGTAGGGTGCACAGGTCACTAGTGTTGGCAGGTGACCTCCATGTAAAATCTGTCTTTGGCATTTGCTTATCTCCCAGGATTCTCCCATGGCTTCGTTTTTTGGTTTCTGCAGATTCCTTATTTTCTCACCAGCTCAGTAAATTATTATTGTTTTAATTAAAAAATTCATTCACCTTTTGGTTGTTTTCATCAGAAGGGTCACGAATATCTAATTACTTCTTCTTGATGAATTTGTAGTAATAGGTACTGAGTCTAAAATAATCTTATGCAAGTTACAGAAATGGAGACAGAACAGTCAGAAAGAATGTCTTCTTCCTTCTGAGCGTGCTGTGTTCTCAGACAAAACAGATGAATCCTGTTCCTCACGAAAGCTTTAGAGCAGAAATTCCTAACTGAGAACGCCGACATTTCTTCCCTTTATCCCAGTAAAGAATCGTGATTTCGTAAAGCATCGTTAATTGCAGTAGGGTCATATTTCTCAAGTGTGGGGGTGCAAGGCTCTTCAGAGCCATTACTGTTGGATGTTGACTTGTTCTAGGCTCAATTTAAATCTTGTGGTGCTTGACTGACTGTTATTTGACAAGATAGGGTGTGTCAGCCTTCAATAACATCTTCAAGGGATGATGTTTGAGAACTCTGGTAAACGTACTGAAAATTGTGTGGCAAGTTTTCGGCTTCGTGGTGGTTTTTCACCAGTTATATCTAACTGTAGTATTGAAAACACTTAAATTTTAAAAAAGCACTCATCGGAAACTGGATTGCTTTGTCTACACTTTGCCTTTGTAGTTAGCATTTGGCCAGAGGTAGGCGTGTGCTCTGGTCATTTCTGCAAGAAAGTCTTGAATTCCTGCCGTGGGACTTTCCTCCTGTAGTTCACAGCATCTGCTCTGCGACGTCATTATGCTGTACTGAGGTATAGTTTACTGTGCTGTGCCTTACTTTAGAACTGTCGCCAAGCAAATTATGTCCTCTCTGTACTGTCCGTTTCGATCTGCTGCCCTTGCTGTATCTGCAGCCACAGTCCCTCCCTGTCGAATCGTGTTGCTCGGCATGTGTCGGTTGGCTTAGAATTCCCTGGAGCTTTGTGTTAATACAGTAGTGTCCTCAGAAGTGTCGATGAAAGTGATTGGAAATATGACAGAATGTTAAGTTAAAAGACACGTTAGAAATTACCTGATCTTCGGCTGTGAAAACCTAAGTTTGTGTAAAGGCTTACTTGAAAACCCAACAGATAAGCTTAGAACTGGGGGTTTGGAAAATTGCTGAGGAGACTGGCCCTTTTATTTTGCAAATAAAAATTCTTAAATTACCAGAAAGGTTAAAGGACAGTGGTCTGAGTTTCTACTTCATCGCACTTAACCTCCTCCTCAATCCAGCCTCGTTGGATTGTGGTTCTGCTGGTGGTTTGGCTTTGGGGGAGTATTATGAGGGTTCTTCCAGGGGCCGTGTTGTGGAGTTGGCCAGATTGAGGAGATGATCTGTTTTTTTTATGAAGCTTCCTCATTTTCTCCTGATTTTTGTTTCCTTCTCTTGTTATTTCTTAGCTCTTGCATGGAGCCGGTCATATTTATTAATATTACTGGCCAATGAGAGTAGCTTTTCTTCCCCTTGGAATTGAAGGGAAGGGAGAGAAGAGAAGCAGCATTTACGGACACCGGCTCACGTACAAGGCACAGCCAGATGCTTTTACAAAAGCTTCAGCTCAGTTTATTTGTAGCCACTCTGTAAAGTAGTTGGTGCCATTTCCCTCTTACCCTTAGGAACTTGAGGCACAGAGAGGCCAAGAAGTTGAACCGTAGTCAAAACTACCCTGAGGCCAGGATGGGTGGGGGAAGGGCTTTCTGAGCAGCGCTTGGAAGCGTGTAAGGACACCAGTGGGACATGGGGTGGTCAGAGCACAGGGGTGTGGCATGCGATTGGTGTTACAGCGGAGAATGCTCACATGGTGTTCTGTTCTTGCTTCATCCTGAGGGCCAGAGATGCTTTCCCCAGGTATGTGGACTGGCATTTTATTGTCCCAAGTACATAGATGCATGAGGTTGTACTTTGGATAATAGCACCTTTTCTTGTCTTTTTTTTTTTTGGGTGTGGGAAAGGGGTTATACTCATTTGAATACACCAATATCAGTTTAAATTCTTACATCTGGCTTAGTGATAGTTTTCAATATAGGTGAGGAAATTCCGCGACAAGATACTTGAGCTGGCGGGGGCGGAGAGCGCGCTTGTAGCCTTTTCCACCAAGACGGTTCTGTTCAGTGGATCGTGAAGTTGCTGTGATAACTGAATTTCATGTCGTTATAAAACAGTTCATGGAGAGCCATATTTAGAAATAAATATAGTATCTGTGAGCTAGTGATTGTGTCGGGGATTTATAGAAAGCCGAATAGTAGTTCCTAAATTAAAAAAATAAAGACAGTATCATGTATATATCCAAGTGCTGGATGGCTGGAGGGCATTTTAGAGGAAATGTCTCATTTTGGTGGAACTCGACCACCAACCCACCCGGTCCCTTTCATCAGTACTTATTTCAGGCCTGGCCCATCAGGAAGTTGAAGAGGGGTCGTCTGACAAAAAGGTCTGGGCTTCCCAGGCTGAGGAAACGGCAGAGGTGGGCTATGGGCACCTGGTGCTGTTGACCATGGTCGCCCCTTGGGGAGGCATGGTGTGTGTGTCCTCTTGTGTGCAGCTCCGCAAGGTGGTGTTGGGCTGTTTTGTGAGTAGTATCAGTTGTATTTGTCTGGTAGTGTGTGTTCATGGGAATTCCCAGGTAGACTTATGCAGAGTTACTGTGTTTTCAGAATCGTTTTTACTTCTCTTTCAGGCTACGTCTTGAGCCCATTTGCTAGTGTGTGCTGGTACTCAGGGCCTGTGTGCTGCCCACCACTTCCCCCGACTCCCCGTCCCTTTTCCTTCAGAGACCTCAGATGCACAGAATTGAGTTGGTCGTATTCCTGAGACCATGACACACAGTTACTGTCTGGGCAAGGCCCCTCTTTTGTTGGGCTTTATTTTATTTTTTCCTTTTTGTCCTTCACCCTGCAGTTCCACATCCCGGCCCTCTTCCAGCCCCACTCAAGTGTGTTTCATGTACATTCTTCCAGCCTGTTTGCCATGTACCGTTTTATATATATATGTGGCAGTGGTCTATGTTGATCTTGTTTTTACTTTGTTTACTTAATATTATGTTTTTGACAAAATTCCATGTTTTTGTATGTAAATCTAGTTCATTTATTCTGACTGCTACATAGTGTGCTGTCATTTTATAGACCGTCTGGATTGCAGTCAGCTGTGCAGTCGTCAATGACATTTCAGCAAACGTTCTTGTCATCTTTAATTCTGTGTGAGAATTTTTCGGGTGTATATACCTCTGAAGATGTGTTAGGTCACTGAATATATGCATCTTTAATTTCACAAAATTTCAGCTCTCTGAGATGGCTGCTCTGAGATTACACTCCTGTTAGACCATGTGATACAGCAGGGGCTCACATCCATTACTTAAAACAAGGAACAGGATTTGATATAATTCCTTGATCCAGGCTTTGTCCATGAGAATGTTCCTGCAAACTAGTTTTTGGTCATATTATTAAAAGCCTTTATTCTTCACTATCACCCTTTGTTTTCTTTCCATAATGTTAGGTAGTTATAGGGAACAAGAAAATTATTATTATTATTATTTTTTTTTTTGCGGTACGTGGGCCTCTCACTGTTGTGGCCTCTCCCGTTGCGGAGCACAGGCTCCGGACGCGCAGGCTCAGCGGCCATGGCTC